AAGAAGAGCCAATGCTAGCACAAGGTCAGTTGAGAAATCTTCCTAGCAGTCAACGTCATTTTTCGTGGAAGCAGCCGTGGTTATTAAGGCATCACAGGACAATATCATCTCTATAAACAATCCTCTTTACCTGAGCTGCCTCGTAACACTTGACTAAGCAGATTCATCCTTGTAACTACACAGCTCCAACCACAAAGCTAAAATCGGCTGGTTTTTTGATAATTATTACTTCTATTGTTTCCCACTGTGCCTGGGCCATTAGTAGTGACTTCAGGGATAATTGGAGTGATGTGTGACGCACAGAAGTGTGTTGCGAGGAGGATGCAGGATATTGTAGCCTCCAAGAGATCTTGTTAAAGCTGGGAGAGCAAACATGCAGAGTAGGTTGCTCATATCTTTGACACAGTAGGTGGAGGGAGAAGTAGATGGACACAATGCTCGTTCGTGACATCAACTAAAGTCTGAGTATATGTGCTTGCAAGGCCATGCCAGGTGCAAACAAAACCCATATGTTCTTTCTGATTCTGCATTTGAGAGCCTCTCCTTTCTATTTTTTGCCTGAGCTTGCTTAGCTGAGTTATGCTGTTATTCACTTTGGGACTCTTTCTGTACTTTGATACACAGGAAGGTCATGTGGATTATTCCAGCGGCAGCCGGTAGTCAGATGTGTTGCCACAGCCAGCTACCTAAGTATTAGCAGAAGTCTAAAATAATGCAAAGCAAAACATAGCCCCAACAAATAGCAGCGTAGATAAGTCTTGGTAACATGCATGTTTGAACTGCATTAACTCTGATGGTGATAGGAGCAGACGGAATGTATATATGTCTATATTTTATAACCATGAAACTCCTTCTCCTGGCCAGAAATAGCAGCACACCTTGAAAATAGTTTTATTAAAATTTTTTTCTAAACCTAGGGAAGCTCACATTTGTTGGCACCACCAAGGTCAAGGACAGTGCAGAGATGCTGTTCAAGAGGTAGCACAGAAGTGGGTTATATTTCAGGGAGAGGTGCTAGCACTAGCGAAGGTAAACCATGACCCCACCCCAGCAGGTTTGATTGTCTCCAGTTTTCTGTGGGATGTGCAGTAAGAGAAGTTTGCTGTTTCTGCCTGTCCCCATACCGTGTGCCGAAGATAATTCACAACCTAGGTGTGGGAGGTATTTGGCTTTATTATAGCTTGTCAGTTTCAAATATAATTGGTTTTCTTACATATCACCACTTTTTCAGAGAGCTGCTGTTTTTTGTATACAGAAGGGATTTTTCTTGGGCCTAGGTGATGCAGAATGGACACGTTTTTAGCTGAACATCAAAGAGAGGAGAAATTCAGCCCTGCAGTGTATAGCTCATGTTTCTTCTTCAAGGCAGGCTACCATTTCTCATCTGGCTCTGGCTTCTATCTTCTTAAGATAATAAATACAGTCTAAAAATGAAATCAGGAAGTTGTTGGGCAGCACATTTGAAGGTGGAGAAGGCCTCTGGAGTTTTCTTAAAAGCTCAAACTGACTGTGAGTCAGCTATTGGCAATAGCTAATGGCTATTGACAACCCATGATTTTCACTCCCACCAATGACGTTTTGTCTAAAATTTTCAGATTTCAGGTGTGAAACTAACAGTGGATTTTATAAAAAACAGAATTGGTAACAGGTGACTGAGGGTAATTATCATACTCATTCTGTCTTTGACAAGTGGCTTTAAACTAAAGGGGGTAGATTTAGACTAGATATAAGGAAGGAATTTTTTATGCTGAGGGTGGTGAAGCACTGGAAGAGGTTGCCCAGAGAGGTGGTGGATGCCCCATCCCTGGAAACATTCAAGGTCAGGTTGGCGGGGCTCTGAGCAACCTGATCTAGTTGAAGATGTCCCTGCCCACGGCAGGGGGGTTGGACCTTTAAAGGTCCCTTCCAACCCAAACTATTCTATGATTCTATGATTCTAAGATAAGTAATTCAGTGACCCCATTTCATCTGGATGAAACCACACTTTAAGGCGCTTTAAGAAATTACCCTTCAATTTGAGCTCAGTGCATATTCAGAAAAGGGCAGCTCTCGCTTCTTGTCAGCACAGGTGATGGCCTCATCTTGCATCCCGGAAAATGGTTTTGCATTACTAGAATATCAGTCATAGCCAGCTGCAATGCTGGCCTGTAATTGTAATGTGGCTTAGTGCATTCAAAAAATGAAATGTAACTTTATGGTAAGTGGATAGTCTGGCAAATAAGCAAGTGTGGAAACAGTTCATATACCAGTTTGCTCACGTTGACAAAAAGGTCCCAGCAAAGGGATGTGAGCTCAACTGCTTCTGATACACAAAAATTTCCATCTGTTGAGTTCTCATTGTCTTAATAGAGAAGAAATACACAGAAAATAGGATTTTTGAACCCAAACAACTACTTCCAAAGACCGTTGCATGAGCTGATTTCTTTCTAGTAAGTGAGAGGGATCACTAAGTGACACAGCACAAAGTTCCCAGAGTTGAATTTTTCTTAAACTGTTTCATACTGCCAGGAATTGCTTTGGAAATCACCTCATTTTCCAGGTTTTCCTCACCTACATCAGAGAGCTGAATATACTTGGAGCCTGCTTTGTACCACACGAAAGACTAGTTTTTACCAATTAGCTTATCTGAGTAAATAGATTTACAATAGAATTTGCCCATTTTCTGTAAGAGAAGGGATTTGACCCTCACACTAAAGCTATATTAGTGTAAAAGGACTTTATTTTCCCAAGAAAATGTGTGTCAGCCTGCTTTTTGGAGCCATTAGCTTGACAGTTTAGAGATGTAAGGATGATGTCTAGAAAAAATTGAATGTGGTTTTAAATGGGTTTGCACTCTAATGCCACTGCACACAACTGTCATGCACCTGAAAAATGTGTTGTGACTTCACGTATCTTGTGTGCCATCTGAGGGACCGTTTCCCACAGTTTGTTAGGCTCTGCACTTCATTAGAGAAATCTTCACCAAAAACTGTTAATCCTGGCAGCTTTCCTAGTAGAATCAATCTTTTTGAGGATCTGGGTGATCAGTAATGACAAAACCAGCCTTGGTATTAGTATTTCACTTGATAAATTGCAGAGATCTAGGCTTCACTTACATTTGTCAACAGTGACTTTCCAGTGAAGTGCAAGGTATTTGAAAAATTACCTCTAATGTTTCAGGCTATGGGGGGAAGTACTTTTTCAAACTATGAGAACATTTCCCTCATGCACCATTAAACCAACCGGGGAGAAAGGAAAGCAGGACAGGGGTGGGACTACACTTGAGTCTCTAAAGGTAGGGTTGAATAGCCGCATGCCAAATTATTTAAGTTTTATTCCTGTGAGCCATGCCATGTAATGATAAAGTGTTTTTGTTAATGATACAGTGAACCACAAAAGAGTAAGAGTTTCTTTTCTTTAAAGCTGCCCTTTCTTGGCTGCTGTGTCTGGGACTGTCCTAGTTCTCATCTTGTTCCTTAATTGTGTGTGTGCTATGGTGGATCCTGCCCATCTTACGTCCTCAATGATGTGTCTACAGGACCTGCTGCTGGTCCCCATTCTCTCTCTCTCTCTGCATCCCCCATTCTCTCCTGCAGACACAGATACCATCTATGTGGCGGGTTACTCAGCTCTGTCTTGCCTCTGCACTGTTCCTTTTGTCCAACCTAAAACTCAATCTGAGGCTCCAACATTTTGCAGTGGGGTGGCTGGTGACTTGGAGTAAACACAGCTTTTCGTTGTCCTCAAGGTCCTCCCTGCTGCCCCCTTCTTTGGGGGGACATTCGCCCCACCTGTCACTGCTGCCTGCAGGCTAAACGCAGATGTCGTCTGAGGATGCCGTTCCAGGATAGGCACTTCCAGAGGGCGAGTTTTCCCATCTGCTTCTAGCATTGTCTTTTGATTGTTACAATTAGAAGATGTGAATCCCACCCCAAAAATCCTGGTTAACATGGATGGAGAATGAAGTAAAATGTGACGTGTGATCTCTGCTGGCTTTTCAGTGGGGAGATGAGGCAAAACGTTGTTGCTGCTAAATGGTGATTCTGGTTTTCTTTGAATACTGGATGTAATCTGGAAGATGTAATGTGGAATTTAAATAGCAGGGTTAGATGGCAAGAGTTCAAATGTTACCTGCGCTGATCTCGCTGTTAGATCAAAGGCCCCTGCAGCTCACAGAAGTGGGACACTGTGCTAAGCAGGATTTCTTTTACCCATTTACAAGGTTTTATCTCCGTGGCACTTTTATTAAAAATAAAAAGCACAAAGTGAAAACAAAACAAAAACTGTCACTGAATTACTGATCAAAATAAACCTCTTTCTGGAAGGTGACTAGACTCAGGTATGGATGGGGGAGCCAGTGGGATGTTCCCCTGGGCTGAATGAGCCCAGATTTGAGCAGTGACCCCAGATTTTGCAGTGGGGTGGGATGTGTCTTTCCCACTACTCAGCATCTGCTCCGCACCTTCTGTGACTGTTCAAATTGCCCTCTGGATTTTGGCTCTTAACCATGTTGTCTTTTAGAAATTACCAGCTTCCCACATCAGGATGAGCCCATTTCCTCTGTGTCTCTTGTCTTGTTATAATGCCACCTCAAAGGGAGGGCAGGCATTCCCTGGATTTGTGGCAATTATTGCTGTGTGACCCAAGTAGGCATAAGGTAAAAAACTTAATGCGTGTATTTCATAGCTTATTTCTGAGAATGACAGAAGGAGTTCAACAAATTTGGAGATCTTTCCCAGTGACAGACTATGCTGGACCCTGACATACTTAGTCTAGGTGATCTACCAGTACAAAAATTTGCTTCACATTCCAACTCCTAATGGAAAAAACCCACTGTTCTCCATCTGCACCCAGACATATAAAAATCCTGAGGTTAAGGTCAACAAGGCACACAAAGAGAGCTGTTCACTATGGGGATGGAGGACAAACTGGTGTGTCCCCCCCAGAAAAAAAAAATGGAATCGTCTGAGGGAAGGGAATCATGTGCTGAGTTACAGGAAAATCTTTGTTTCTAACTCTAGGTCCTTCTTCAGTTATCAGCAATGACGACGATTCAGCCAGTCCCCTCCACCACATCTCAAATGGCAGTAACACTCCGTCTTCTTCCGAGGGGGGTCCTGATGCAGTCATCATTGGGATGACAAAGATTCCTGTTATTGAAAATCCTCAGTATTTTGGAATTACCAACAGTCAGCTCAAGCCAGACACCTGTAAGTACAAACAACTGTATGTGTTTCAGTCATTCATTTTACCTGTGAAGTGCTGGGGCTTCTTAACAGAGCTAGCAGCACAAAATTCCTGGCAGTGTAAGGGTGGGGTTAAAATGTATGCAATTTGTTGAAGGTATATGGAATGAACCGCTTTACGTCTGTCAAAGCCAAATTCAGCTCTTGTGATGAATCAATGAAGTCAGCAGTTACACTCAAATCCGATCCATATTCCATCAAAGTCACTAGTAGCCTTTCCATTGATTTCAGTGGTCTTTGGCCAGTCCTGTGCACTGAATGTGTTCTTGGGAGAAAACAAATCCCGGGTCAGAAGCAGAAGTCAGTATTGTTACACACGCGCTGCTTTTAAATTGTTCATATTCACAATGACCATAACCTAACTTTGAAATCTGAGTATTTGTAAAGTTATAAGAATGATAAGGGTTACAACTTCAGTTCTTTTAATTTCATTGTATAATTCAACCTCTACAGCTGGAAAAGATGTTAAATATTTAAAAGTAGAGCGGAAGGTTGCATGATGGACAATAAATGTCACATACCAATCCTTTCATGTTCAGTTAGAAGCAGGTGAAATGTGAAAGAATATGAAGAGTTAAACATAATTAACTATGAATAGTTAAAAAAGAGTATCCATAACTTCAGATGCTACTCTTCAATCTTAGTAACAGTTTTAGAATTCGACATGTGAAATGTTGATTTTTGAAGCAGTGATGAGCATTGCAGCAGATAACTGAAAAAATACCTAAAGGATATTGTGATTAGTAGTAACTTCACTGCTTACTATTTTTCATCAGTACATTAAGGTTGTTAAGTTTCAGAGAAGGTTGTTCCTGCCTCTTTTTTCCTCTTTTTTTGTTCTTGTGTGAATGTACATACCTTTCTGAAGTGTTACTGGAAGTCTGAACTGTTTCTCTGGGAAGTCACTCTAGAGATTCGCAGCATAGCTGGTGAACATTGGGCTTGCAACTAAGGGATGCTACATCCTGTCTGTATCCTACCCTGAATGGTATCGCTTCATAGCACAAACTGTAGTCTAGGGGCTTACTGCCAAGGTCAGACACCTTTACCTCCAACTTTGCAAAGCTTAAATGCCATAATAGGAATCTTTCTTGACCTGTGCATGAGGTCATGCATGCAAACGTGTATACTTGACTTCTAAGGTTGCAAATACTGATGCTGGACTACCTGTGTATCTTGTGAATATTAATGCTCATCTACATCTAGGTTGTTGCACTAAACACAATCCACAGAAGGATGTTCCTGCAACGCAACAGAAAGTCTTCTTCTGCCTTTTTGTAGTACATCCCTGATGTTTGCTCTTACCATAGCTTTTTTGAGTGGCACTATTTTGTGATTAGAAATGCCCCATTATCTCTTCTACCAGAGCATATTTGAATAATCTGGCCTAGCATATGCAGTGGGATGCATAAGGTAATCACTGAATTGCTGATACTTGATCAGCACAAATAAAATGTTATACAGATGCATTCTGATTAGAACATTAATTCCTGTGAAGAATAGAAGCCGCTAGGGAATCAGAAATGGGCAACATGCCCACTAGAGCTCTCTAATGTTATATAAAAGGCCATGCTTTTAAATATCAGGCTACTGTACGTCCATTCCCAGCTGCATTAGACAACATTATAATTGTTTAAATAAACATCAGTGACTGCAGAGTATTTAACTTCCAGCATTAGTGTTGAAACAACATACATGCTGTTCTGAGGAAAAACCCAAACTGTACCAAAACACAGAATTCTCTCACATTTAGTATGCTGCACATTAAGTACAGACGCATTAAATCACGGCTGACTAGTGCTAAGTAGGTCCTGATCCTAAAAATACGTTAAGTCTGTTTTTGTTTTTTTGTGCTGCAATGAAACCCACGTGGTGTCAGGGAAATTAATCACAGTACATGAAGTTCAGTTTGTGCATAAATGCTTGCAGGATACGGCTCAAGACTTTGCTGTGGTGCTCTGGGGAAGTCTGTGGGGCTGATGCTCTGCATTCTGCCACATTGCCACAGTGGTCACAGTCTCTGTGTTTTTGTTGCTTTAGCAAAGAGAATCAGGTAAACTGTGGCAGTGTATAAACTGAGGCAGATTTCTCCTACCACATTGAGCATCTGACCAATAAAGATCATAATTAAAATTGTCTCAGACAAAAATTATTTTCCCGGAAATAATTTCACATATGCTCTCTTTCTGTCTCTCTCACTCACTTATTATTACACAGCTGCACTTGTCCTTTCTTAACCTGCCAACCTCCTCCTGATGTGTATATCTGGTATTTATAAACCTCTAAGCTAAGTAGCTCTCATACCTTTTTCCTGTTTACAATAGTGCCAGCTCCAGATGTCATCTGGTTTCTCATCTCCAGCAAGATGATTAACATTTATGTTTACTTCCTATCTGGTCTAAGTTCCATTGTCCGCTAGCATTAAACACTGCAATCACTTGCAGTCATGCTGGAAAAGATTCTTGTGTATTTAGCCTATGTTGGTCTGTGGAAGGAGGTGAGACTTCGAGCTAGGTGAAACTGTACTCAGATTGCAGTTTTCACAGAAGTTGAAGGAGTACGTCTGCTGTGAGTAGCAAATGGAGTTTCTTTTTTGTTATCTACTTAAGCCATATTTTGACTTGTCTACAGATAATCATTTCTGAATACAGTGTATCAAGCTCCATTGCAAAGTATTAGAAGTGTATGTGTTTAAAAGAAAATTAAAAAGTTGATTGTGATCAATTTAGCATGAAATTCCATTACTGTATCAGTAAATTGGTACTTTCACTACTGAGTAATGAAATCCCAAAAAGTGATGTCTTCTAAAGAGTCAGTCTCGGGCTAAAAGTTATAGCACTTTCTTCCTCTTGAGAGACAGCTTTCAAGGTGGGAAAAGCAAACTGATGAAGACCAAACACCCATCGACTTGAAGGGTTGTGTTCCAGTCATCAGTCAGAAGGACTGAATTTCTGTCCCAGGTTTCAGCACAAATGCCCATCTGTACTTTAATTGACATAACGGTAGAAAATTACTCTTCATCTTCCAACTGGGATTGGCTGATATTTCCCACTCCAGCTGCTCATCATCTTAACTACCCATTTTCCTCACCAGCAAACCCACTGATGCTTCTTCAGCACTTGACTGTCTGACACCCTATCCCAGAACTCCTGACTTTTTCTTTTCCCTGCCATATACGCTTGGTTGCTGCTGGCTGGTGGGCTCATCTGCGACTCCAATATCTTGAATATTTCCGCCTTGAAAGTTTACAGTCTGTGGTGCACAGACACGTTTCAGACACGTACCAGACTTCTTGGTTCCTTTTTGTGTGAAATCAAAAGGTATTTCCCCTTCGGCAGTACTTGGCTAACAGTGACAACTCTGGTATCAGATGCGTGAGAGAGTCCACAGCCTGAACATGGTGAAATGCTCTTTGCACTTAAGTCATGATAAAACCAGGTTGTGCTGTATTAGCGTCAGCCTGCAAACCTCTTGCCTGGCAATTACCAACAGTGTTCAGTTGTTGCTGTTGAAAACTGAACCATAGCTTTGTAGTGAAGTAACATCGCCAGGTGCAGAAACCTTGCATGGATGGCAAACCTTGCAAAGATTTTTATCCCCTGAAATTAACTGGATGATGTAATATCTTGTGTGCATAGATGCTAACTATTGCTAGATGGTTAGCGTCGCTAACCTTGTGAGCTGTCACAGCCCCTAAGCTATTTGGTATTTTCATTAATTCCATGATATTTCAAGAATTAGTCTTCTACATCTCTCTGCAGAAATCGTAGTTGCTAAAGTTGCCAACCAAGTCTGCCAGACCTGTTGAAACAGGACGGAAGAAACAAAGCCATTTTCCCCATGAACGGCTATGGACTTTCTTCATTCATCACTTAGCTTGCAGCCCAGCGCTTGGAATATATCAGCCCATTACTATTGCATTTCCATGATTAATGGTGGAAATGCAGTCAGTAAATAACATTGCTGTGTTGGTAGTAGTGTGAAAAGCAAAACCTGAGGAGAGGGCATGCATAAAATGTCAGTGGCAGTGCCCAGGTTGAGACTCTGAGGGCAGAACTTGGGTAAGAAACTGCTTGCAGGTGCTTTTGGGATTTTGGGAATCAAATTGTTCTCTGAATCTCACCCCAGTAACGCCCACCCCATGAAGTCACAGTGGTTGGTTGAGTGCAGCTGAAAGGAAGGCTGAAGCTTTGCTCTTTCATGGAGAGGTTTGCAAGCTCCAGGTTTCAGGCCCCCTAGGGTGGATAAACAGCAGCTGCACTGGCATCAGTTTGTACTTCCCAGTACTTGCAACTCACTTGATTTCATCCCTAAAGATATTATCAATGATGGAAAATAGTGTACTGGGCAGGCTTGTTGATTAGTCAGTGGGTAGTTTAGTGGCAAGATGTTTTCAGTGGTTGGCCATACATGTAGCCATTGCATTTCAGATGATGTGGTGTGGATTGTGGCTTTCATATGGGAAATTTGGGTATATTCATGAGATGATAGTCTTAATATTTCGTCTATATTTCTGCAGTTTGAGACTGTGTTCTTTCAAGTACAGGAGTGTGAATGTGCAGTTTAGATAATAATTATTGTACTTCCAGTTGGCCTCTGTTAGGGAAAGTCTGCAGCTGATTACAAGTTGGTAGAAATAATTTTTGTAAATTAATTTTATTTTATTTTATTTTGCTGATCTGAAAAAATGAATTTACAGTCCATAGCTCCAGTTCCACAGTAAGATTTCTAATTGCATGTCGGATGATAATTTTAAAGGCAGAAGTTTTAAAAACATCCCTCTTCTATACCATTTTGAACATTGAACTTTTCAATTTATGCTTTGGGATTTTCATTTACATTTTAGGGATTGTTATACCATTTAGTTAAAGGTGATCTCAGTCTTTTTCTTACTGTCCTTGTTCTTTAACTGTAGATTTCTTTTTAACATATACATAGCCAGTCTTTGGTTGACCCTGTTAGGT